AGAAAGTAAAGGTAAAGTATAGTAATATAAAGTAAAGTAAAATAGTATAGAAGGAATACTACAGTACTAAGTACTGTATAAAGTGAAAAAGAAAATAATAGGCTGTCCTAGGGGCGATTCCATAACACTCATCCTGCCTTCGTCGGGTCTGTCTCCAGCCTCTTTCTCACATCTACGGGCAGTTGGTCAAATAGAATAAAATCGAAAAGACAATATTGCACCTCTTCCGCTTAGCCATAATTTATCGCGCCGTCTCCAAATCCAGCTACAGATGGATCACCTTCTTGAGGAAAACAACCTTCTTGATGGATTTGCTTGGCAAGCAAACCATCCAATGCGTGGATCTTGTCCAATGGGCGGGCGGCTTTAGGTTTCTGGGAGCTGGCATGGAGGTCATGAAGCAAGGTGGGGATGTCGAGTGGAGAATTTGTGCTGGGGCGGGCAATGACGAGGGTGAGAATGAGCCGGAGGCTGGGAAGTCTTGACCAATGACATCATGTGGTATATTCATCATCCGCGCCAAGTCGTTCCTCAATACCCCCGAGCTAGTCTCTTCCCCCAACACCCCTCCCTGCGCCGGGATGGTAGATGCGCGGTGGAGGATGATGTGACGGTGATTATTGTGGCTGGGAGGGAGCGGGGTGAGTTTGGATGAGTGGGTGGTATTGGGGGGGATGGGGAATCCCTGGCGGGGACGAGGGCGAGGTTTGCATTGAATCCTTTTCCTTGTTGGGATGAGGCGTTGACGGTCCAGTGGGGCACGCGTGTGATTCGGAAGTGCATAAAGATCGTCCCACCAAACGCCCCCAAACCACCTCAGCCCGAATCCCCAGCGTCTCCTACCAGCCCATCCCCACCAACGGTAGAATCCGGCACGTGTCGGTTCCGTGTCTCTATTGCGGAGGAGGACAACGTCCCCATGTCCCTGCACCCTGGATTGTCACCAGCGTTCTTCCAGCGGCGATACATTCGAGCCTTCCCACTCCCAGACTATACGAAGTATGGTGGAGAGGACGGCATGTGGCAGCTGGGTACGCCGCGCCGAGGTCGATGAGGGGGATCAAGAAGATGAGTGTCGACAATGTGTCAAAGGGAAGCTGGCCACTTGTCCCACCTCGCAAATGCATCATGGAAGCGAGGACGTAGGCGCCCCATCAGTTCTACGTATGACGCGTCTTCGAGGGGTGCGAGCGATGAGTGCACCGTCCACCCTCCACGTCGTAGTTGCGAGAGCCCTTTGGAAGCCAACCTTGAGTTCCTCTGAAGGAGATGTTCACTACTGAACCAGTATGACGGCGTCGTGTTCCTGGACGTCAACCAGGGCTAGCGTCCAACGGGAAGGTTTTCAAGTTTGTTTCCAGTTTTCGGTCCGGAGTCACATGTCTTGGAGTGGACTGGAGTACCCACAAAGAAGCCAGGTTGTCTGAGCACGTGTTGTTGGGGCTGAAAGAGAAGGGTTGGGATTAGTGCAGCGTGAGTAGCTGGGGCTCAATGATTCACAGGGTTTCCCAAAGATGGCTCCGAAGACCACAACAGGGAAGCCGAGATACGTAATGCAAAAGGTCGTGTTGAGGAGAACGATACCTGAAATTGCCCCTTTGCAAAACAACGGAGGAGCACTTTCTCCTGACGCGCTCAATATCAGGACTTGAACAATTGAGGCATGCCTACCGAGACCAATTATTCCCAGGCCATGGCATCCACCTTCGACGTTTCTAATGTTAGGTATCATCGTTGAGATGGCTCAAACAATGGCTGGATTAAGTAAAAGTCATAGAACCTTCCACCCAACACGTCGCTGTCCACCCATCTTGGTACACCCCACTATCTCATCACCATTCCACCCCCACCCGTCTCAGGGGACTCAGTCATCTGGTAGCGTATTTGGTGGACGAGGGGGAAAGTGAGGAAGTGTCAGAACATGACTTCTTACATACTTATAGCCCAACTTGTCACTATACCGCCAAACTTGGTGGCAGTAGTGGTAGTTGCCTTAGTTAACGTTAATTGTTACGACGGATGGCGTATTGTTGGAGTAGGCGCTCACATGACCGGCCCATAGTGTATATAGATAACACGAGGCACAACCTTCCTCCTCGAGCTCCTGCGGTTGTACCCTTACCACCACTGTACCCTAGGCTACACGATATACGGCTTTGCTCTTCATTCTCAGCCCTCCAGAATCTGACACGTATATATATGTATATAGAGAGAGATAAGTCTCGAAGTACATAGATAGGGGCCCGGCTACGCGACGATTACAATTGCTGAACCAGAAGAAGCCAGGTGAGGGTATATATAACCGGCGGTGTGAAAAAAGTAGAAGGTAAGGGTTTTCCCTGCCCCAGTTGCGGCTACTATGATCAGGAGATTTTTGCCGGTCATGACTGTTCGAAGGGTGGAGAGTTGCCAGTGACAGGGACAAAACCCAATAAGTGACTTGAGAAGATTGAGGGCCTCAACGTCATCAGATGGTAATCATGGAAGTGACCTTGTTTGAACGGGAGCCATAACGAAATGAAGGGATATAGCCTGGGCCAGGTTGTAGCCAGGAAAATTGCTACATAATAATTACAGACACGATTGATTACCCCCACCCATCTTGGCAACATTCCGCTCTTCTTGTCACCTCCCACCTATCTTGTTACCCACCCAGTACCCACCCATCTCGTATAGACTCTAGATGACTATTGGAATTCGTTGAGGTCATGAAGAATTGCTGCTCTCTGACACACTCGTCGAACCTGTGGCGTCCGCTCTCCAGAGACTCCTCTTCAGGCCACAAATTGCCCTGAATTGCCTCTCACGCCAAGCTGTGGAAAGGATACACCGATTGAATTACCGGGCAAAGGAACTGAGTTCGACCTGTGTCTGAGTCCAGTCTGTGTGATGAAGGCTCGAACATGCGCCCTTGGCCCAGGAGCGCCAACCATGGTCAGTGTAGGGTTTGAATTCACATGGATTCTAACCCCATTCTGGTATTCCAAAATTTTCAGGGTGTTCACGCCTGCTCGACTCTGGAAGAAAATACTGCTACCAGTAGAAACTACTTCAGTGCCAAATAGGGCTTTGAATTCATCTTCTAGATGTTTAAGTTCCTCCATACTCGCAGCTGATAGCCTCACCCTTGCATTGCCTTTGTAGTTCGAGTAACTTACTTGTCGCTTGTGGGAATGGGAGTCATGGAAACAGCGGCAATGGAGGCGCTTGAGTCCAGGCCCGATGTTGAAGAGGTCACTTGAGCTTACATTATAGGTGGTGTAGACGACTATATCATCCATTGGGATCGGTGGGAAATCTGTACTTGGCTCAGGGGCTGTTGGTCCCAACCCATGTATTTATTTTTGAGGTGGGACCGATGCCACGGATGGGCGCTGGAGCGTTGTCGCCTTAGAAAGGTTGGTACAGCACATTTTTTATACACACAACAGCTCTCTGTTTGTTTCAGTATTGATGGTGTGCGTTTGTCAATGGCACATGCTCATCAATGGCATGCATTACTGGTGCACATTTGTTGATGCAGCACTGATATATTAAATAATGTACACTAGTGGCGACCCGTGGCTACGCCACACTCATAAAAAGAGGTGTTTGGTGGACAGTAGTTTATTACATTATTACAGCTTGCTACAATTCTTATTCACTACGTTTTCCAGCTCGAATTCTGCTTCCGCTTTTCGTTGTAGTGGTTGGGGAGCTATCAACCATATCTGAGTCATTCTCTTTGTCCATGGGTCCCGGCTCGATTTTGATGTGTTTGGGACTTGGGGCAGCTATATCTTCTGTGGTATCCTCTAAGTCGTCGATCAGCCATTTTCGCTTACATTACTTTTAAATTCAGCACCTTTGCAGCTAGAATCTGAATGTCAAATCATTGAGTTCATGATTGAACATGCTCTGATGCTCGCACCATGCTACCACCCCTCCGTTTTACCAGATTGACAACTCCATAGGCTCCATTTCCGAGCATGCGCTGGATCTCGTACAGTTCATCAAACGAAGAAATTGTGGTGAAATGGCTGCTAGCCGTCACTGAAATAGTTTCTCCACGGCTGGGCCGACAGGAGCCATGGCAAGCCGCCCAAACTGTGCAACAGTGGAAAAAGTTTCTCCCTCATTCCGGGATGATTCTAATGAGAAACCCCCCTTCCCGCAAAGAAGCCGGGTTATGGGAAACCAGGGAAACTTTTTTTAGTGAGTTTCGGAACGCTTGCCCTGGACCCTAGCTGTATGCTCATAAAAGGAAGGCAAGTCAAGTCTTGTATTTCGTTATCAACTACTTCTTTTCCTTACTCTGTGCAGTGTTTGTGATACAACATGTTGGGATCATTGCCTAAGAGTGTCCCTTGTGTGTTAGTTACATTTCCTGATTATGACTGCCCATATATTCCGATGTTTGATCCTAAATTGATTCGACATTATTCCAGTGGCTAGAACATCCCACTTACATTATTAGTTAGTTGCTGTATGTGTCGCACATGTGAGTTGGGATCGGCAATCCTTATCAAACTCAATCCCGGAATTTTGGTAATTTTCAGCGGCTCGGCAAACTACGGCTTCCGAAACAGGACCTCAGTTTGGCCAGTTCCGAGAATGCAAGTTCTGCTGGCTCAGGAAGTCAATTTTGCTCTTAGCTCTAGTGGAATAATCAGGACTCCATTTAGAAGAGATCTGTCCAAAGGTTTTTTTAAAATTATCATTTTGTTCTTGAGTTATGCAGAGCATAACTTTTTTTCCTCAGCGATTGACGAAAATCGCTACAGAGGGTCGTTGTTATATTGATGGAGGATCCCTTTGAAGGCTTTACTTTGTAGTCTTGTCTGGAGGAATGAGTTGAAGTGAGTTCTGGTTTTCAGGAAAAGTCGCAGCAACAGCATATTGGAAATTAAAAGTGACCAGACTGGGGATTGAACCCAGGACCTTCTGAGAATGTACCACAGGTGCTCTACCAACTGAGCTATATGGCCGGTTCCAGGAGATCCACCATGTGACATGTTCAGAAACATCCAGAATGTTCTCAGACTCATCTGGAACATTACGGAATGTTGTAGAATGTTCTGGGATTTCATGGAACTCCACAGAACACAGAACACTTACGGAACATCATGGAACACTATAGAATGCTGTGATTGGGGTAGGTAGGCATGGAGTCAGGTATAAGTACAACATACCCATTAGAAAATGTCAACATTGTAACAAGTGACCAATATGATGTAAATGGCACTTGAGTGGCATATCCCTTTGGAGAATATGAATAGTTTGCTGCAAATGACCTGATTCTGACACAGCCCCTTGATTAAGGCAAACTATGAATGTTATGCCTTTGAGTAAATCACAAGATATCAGAATGGTGATATGGATAGTGGAACCAAAACCTGAAAAATTGCAACAGTTGTTTCAAAAATGACCAAAAGTCCGAGACTGCTCAGATGGGTATATCTGGCCAATCCAAACTTTGCAGTTTGAAAAGACTTGGTAAGATTTTTGAAAATGGGTCTTGCAAACTGCAAAATTGTTCTGGAGGGTTCTCTAGATGTATAGAAGCATCTGAGATGGTGTTGCTGTTGGAATGTGGTGCTCCTACCACCGAGGTTTGCACACATAACTCACACAGGATCATCATTTGGGGTTATGGACTGACTTGGGAAAAATCATGTTGGGGGGGTGTTGGACTGAAAGTGCACACTCTTATATATGTTTGGTCAGTGGCTGTGTTAATTTCTTTGTTGATTGGACACGACGTGATGGTCACATGACCGTATTTAGATAGTTAGTATATATAGACCCTGCATTCACTCTGTGCAGCGTTTGTGATACACAACACACTTATTTCAACAGTTGCCACAAAAGCCAAATTGCAGGATAAGGCTAAAGCACAAGTGTTGCCATAAAGGCACAGAGTACAACAAATGATGTTGTACACAAAACAGTTGCCATAAATAGAAATTACTGCCAAGGGGATTGATTAAGGATGAATAGTGGAAACACATGAAAGATCTGTAAAGGTAACACATAGAAGTGTTCCTCGATCAATCTCGCAATGAAAAGTTGCCAGAGTAGTTGGAGTGGTGCAGTTGAAACACCCTGATTCTGACAGAATGCAGTCAGGAGGAGCTGATTTGTGCCCAGGCTGAATTAAAAGGAAAAGGAAGAGAGCCGTGCTATTCTCAAGCGTGATATTACGAAGTTGCAGAGATGCTGCTGACTCAGGGTTGTTGATAGAAGGCTGAAAGAGGCTGAAGATGGGCTAGGTGAACTTCAGTTCTGCTGGACCATGAAAGGGAGAAGAAGAAGGATACTGAAGAGAACCACGATGCTTAACATCTCAAAGCTTCCTTGACCGTGGTGAGTTTGCAATTCAATTTTCCCTTTACAACACTTGCCTCATTATCACGACTCACGGAGAATCTATTGCATGGCATTCCATAACTTCAGAGTTTGAGTTGCTTTTGTTCCAGATGCCAAGAGTCCCCGCACTTCAATAGCCTCAGTATCGAGCTCATCAATCCTTATATCCATACTCTCTAACAACAAAACCATGCACCAACCATGAATCTTTCAAGGGGCTTGTCTTAATCGAGCTGTTGCCCAAGCCGTTGAGAAAACATCCCACAAAGCTACTGAACAAGGGAGTGATTTCAACTCCAATCCAGGCTACTATTCGTGACCTGGTTGCGAAATTGAAAGTCCCATACCATCGAGTGTTGGGTGTCATCTACCGTATTGCCTGTACTTGTCAGTCCCCTACATTGCTCCCTGAGAGTCCCCAGGACTAAGTGGAGACTGAGTAGGACAGGAACAAAGTGGGGACTGGGTTAGGGTTAGGAATAAATGATGGCACTGCCACGTCTTTTCTCTCCACAGAGCAAATTTGCTCAAAGCGTGAAATTCACTGTTTTATGGCTTCCTGAGCATCGACAACACGATCCAATCTAGAATACCGCATATACACGTATTTAGGGACTCTTATGAAGAGTTTTCTTGGTTGACAACTGAAAGTGTTGAGACATAACTATGTGATAGTATCCATCTTCCTCTTCTCTCACCACCATCAACCTCAACCTCAAGATGGCCATGCGATGTAGCGACGTGAAACTGGCAGCAATGAGGCTCTACTATGCAGGTATTCTCACTTTGCACCAAATCCTCAATGCTTGCAGCTTTTCTCGTCAAACATTCTTTCGGATATTGAAGCTCTGGAGGGAAACCGGCGATGTTGTGAAACCAAAAGGCCTGGACAAGAGGCAGGGCGCGGATCCTACATGTAAAAGACCTCAAATACCTCCTCCGCCTCATACATCAGAACCCACAAAGAGCTGGAACAAGCCAAAGTCAACATGAAGAAGCTGAAGAAGGTCACCATTTGCAGATGCTGGGGGGAGTGATAGAATTTTTGCTGACATGTGGGAAGTTTTGGACGTAGTTGAACCTGATGCAGAGGGATACTTTATTCATGCAGGCTACTTTTGAAACCCGACAGAATTGATGTTATTACACTTGTTACACTACGGTGTGAGTACAGAGTGATTTTCAAAGGTACAAGAACGTGAGAGAAGGCTCTATTCAACCGGCGTCGACGAGTTATGCAGGGCTCGCTTCATCCGCGCCAGCTCACCAGTGGCCAAACCTAACAGTCCCAAATCATCAATGTACAGGAGGTTGTGAACATCGACAAGCCCATGTTTTGCAAGCTTTTCAAAGATATCATCACCAAGAGCTGGATTGCCATTGGAACAAAACTCCTTGAGGTATATATTGCTTCCTGGTCCTCAGCCAGCAGGGAGATGGCTATAACCTGTTTGCAGAGTGGGAGGAGCACTAACGGAGGTGGTGGCTGGAGATGTTGTGAGTGCTGTGAGGGGTCGAAAAACTTCAGCAAAAGCATCAAGCAAAATGTTGTTGTTGATGACCAGGGCTGGTGCAGGATTTTCCTTCAGCTTTTGGAGACATCGTGCGAGAAGTGGGGATGGAGCAGCAGGGTCAAACTTCGGGTGACGGGGAGCCCTCTCGAGAGTCGCTGAGTTGTCATCTTTCATCTGGTGAAAGAGCCATGTCAGTAACAGGAGACCTCTACTGACAATAAAGCATGCCCATATATTGAGCATCTCGAAGCTTATTGGACAATGTTCCCCATCTTCATAATCGTAGCAATGCAAACCAGGACAAGCAGCATCAGCTTTTGAGCACTTCCACCGTTCAAGTTGATGAGTAAGGTTACATAGCTACATCCCCTTGTGACACATTGAAACCACCTTTTGACACATTACAAGGGTTTGAATATCAGAACCTAGCAAGCCTACATCCAAAGACAACTTTTCTAAAAACACCTATTTCCAGACACATTTGGTATCACCTAGACCTGATTTTGAAGAAGAATCTGAATCTGGCATTCAAGTTATGTAATCTTCCATATATAGATAGCTATTCCCACAGTTACATATTCCCACACTTAATACATTTTACTAACATGTTACTTTTAGATGTTTGTACTTGTATCTAGTAGTGTTTTTGAAGAAGAATCCAAATTCAATGTCCAAATTATACAATTTGCAATATATGTTTGCACATTTGCTACTACATATCAATGTAGTATTTCAGTGAACAAAGAAAGTAAAGCATTCAAGAAAAAATAAAAATGATGATCTCATGGGGTTAGGGAGGCAATTGGCATTACATCAGAAAAACAAAAGTTGCAATAAAAGAACAATTCTTATAAATAGGAACCATAAAAGACCTAGAAGTTATACATTAGTAAAATACCCTAGATGTGGGAATATTTCAAACTGATATACTCTACACACCATTGGAGGGGCTCACTGGGAGTGGCGGAGATCATGCAAAGGATCAACTAAAAGTTGACTGCAGCATGAAGAAAGTCAAGATTGAGAAGGATCTGGAGATTCGTGGTGATGAGGCTCTCGGTGAGTTGGCTGCAAGTGATACCCTCCTCCTGCTGGCAGCTGGGAAAGATACAATTGTTGAGGAGGTTGGTGGCAAAGAGGTATGGGATGGCTTGTCGATTGAAGAGCAGGAGAGGCGATTGGAGGCAGTGATGCCGAGAGTACAGCAATCCCTAGGACAAGCTGCATTTGATGCCCTGCCTGCAGTTGAGAAGGCTAGTGTACAGCTGTGTTTGCGAGGTGGTTGTGCCATGCATAAAGACCTCAATGGCCTGAAGGGATTTGCAGATGGGATGGCACAGGCATAGGCAGCACATGGCTGGGCCGAACCAGTTTCTTGTAAGCCTCTGGCAATTGACCACTTATGTTTACTACCAAGTGCAAAGTACAAGCAGCTTTAGGTCGAGTTGGTCATCCCAAACCACCACGATGATACTTCAGATTTATGCCCATGGCTTGTGATACAGCTCACAAAACGATGATCCCTTGGTCAGTCCCCTCCCACTTTTTTTGTGATTTTCAAAGCTTTAGCACATTTCACAAGCCCCCTACAGCTCGTCTCACTGACAGTGTTAAGTCAGTCAGGGGCATCATATGGTTAGCAGTTAGGTCAGTTAGGGCTCAGGCAGTTAGGAAAGTTAGGGCCATGTGAATCCTAAGTCGGTTAGGGGTCTAGGGGAGTATCCCCCAGCAAAATATCAGCCACATGTTGGATATGAAAAGTTGACCAGACCAGGGATTGAACCTGGGACCTCCCCATTGTATACAGGGTGCTCTACCACTGAGCTATTTGGCCAGTTACAACTAAAGCTGGGTTGTGATATTTAACTACCAACTAGGAATCTTAAGACATGTTTACACCACAATCCCACATAGTAGAGGGTACTTGATGTAACTCAGAGGTCAACTCCTAAGTTGGCAGATTACATATCCCAACACCACAGTCCCTTTGGTAGTCTCAATATTGCAGTAATACTTGAGGTTCCTCTTTAGTTACACAACGAAATTAGGTAATCTCAGCTGTCACCGGTCAAAGCACTCATTCAGATTCCAATGGATCAATTCCAAGAGGTGGGTGTTTATCAAATCCACGACACCAACCTCTGCAATTGAGCAAGGGGAGGGCAGTGTATGACGTGCCAAAGTGTGTTTTATTATTTTTCCCATCATGCTTGGACTTCTCCTCTGCTTTTGAGATTTCCCTGCGTGCGGCCATTTTTTTCACCACAACACCTTTAGCACATTGTCTAGGGCTTCCGACGTCGTCAACAGCAACGACGAGAGGCTTTTCAAAGCCATCAAAGGTGCTCGTCGTCGTGCCGGGCAATGAGCATCGACCCACATTTGTTATCGGCTCGGGCCGAAATTCCGACGCTTGAGCAGCTTTTCACCAAGAGAAAGAAGAAAATGGACAATGACAGCTACAACAAGTATTTATGCAACAAATATTCACATATAATAAAAGATCTCCAAACCCAGTAGCAGCAAGACCTGTCCCCAAAATGAGCTGACAAGGTTGTGACAATCAATCAAAATACAGCCATCTGTGGTGCTCAGTCCTCCATCTCAGTTCACAATGATTTGAGCAATAATTCAGAGGCTAAATTAGTTCCAGATTTATTGAAATGAGATAGTCTAAAGATGGACAACTACAAGTAGGAGATATCGAGTCTTGGAGGGAACCGACAGGGGCGTCAGAATTTTGGCCCGAGCCGATAACAAATGTGGGTTCGTCGTTGCTGTTGACAACGTCGGAAGCCCTAGACGATGTGCCAAAGGTGTTGTGGTGGTGAAAAAAATGGCCGCGCATGGGGAAATCTCAAAAGCGCAGGCGAAGTCCAAGCGTGATGGGAAAAATAATAAAACTCACTTTGGCACGTCATACACTTTGGCACGTCATATACATCCATTCAGTTCAATTCAAGCAAAAATAGATGAAACATGTCCAACCCATTCCAAGGCCAGGACCCCGGATGACGGTTCTTATGCAAGAAGAAACCCTACTGACAACCCTATCATCCTTGCAGGCGACTTTGATAACTAACCCCTAACCCCTATGGAGTGGATACCGCAACCCAGGCGCTTGCCGGCGATCCAACAGCGACCAACTCAAGACCACGGAATGTACCAACACCTCCCCCCAGGCACCCCCACCCACCTCTCCGCAGCCCACAAAAAATGGTCGACCATCAACTTGGTCTTCATCTCAGACAAGTGTCACCAAGTGCACCATGGTCGACAGTCACGGGTCGGACCACATGATGCTAGACATCACTCTCGATCTCCACACCCAAGCGAAGCCGCCGCCCCCCAGACTGGCCTTCGGTCTCACGGACTGGGACGAATTCACCGAGAAGCTGGAGCAAATCATGGCCACTCACTCCTTTCCAAGCTTCGACCCCCGCCTGGCTACACACAAAACGGTGGATCGAGTTGCAACAATGATCACTGACTGTTTTGTCCAGACAATCAAGGAGACAGTCCCCTCAATGGCACCCACTCCCTTCTCGAAGTGGTGGTGGACTAACGACCTCACGAACCTCAAGGATAAACTCAGATCCCTGGTAAGACAAGCCCAAAAGCCACGAGCCACCCAACAAGAGATCGACGAAGCCATCAAGGCAATAGAAAAGGCCAAGAAAGAGCATTGGAGAGCATGGCTCGAAGAAGCAGACGCACGTAGCATATGGCTCGCCAACAAGTATGCGACGTGCACCGACACTTCTGACCTCCTAGGAGCCAAACTCCCCAACCTGCAGTCACCCAACGGGGGCGAAAAAAGACCAACATAGAGAAGGCACAAATTCTCTGTGACGTCTTCTTCCCAATACCACCCCCAGCTGACACATCTGACATCCCAGACATCCAATAGATGAGGAGGCGACCCCCACCTGTTATGGAATCGCCCCAAAACACCTATTATTTCTTTTTCACTAAGTCCACTTATCTTATCATAGACACTGTAGATTAGATTACTTATTATCTCT